ATTAAGAGGAGAGAGAGAAGATGCAACTAAAATAAGGGTCAAAACAACATTAATTTTCTCAGATTCTCGGTTACGTTCAAGATTCATGCTTGCAATTGTCTAGAGCTACCAGTGAGCTCTATATGGAGGTAGAAAAAAATCAAAAGAATTGCAAACCTCCCTTGCTCCAGTTGGCAAAACAGAGTCCTCCCAACCGATTGTAACTCAGTTTCGTAGTTCAGAGTCTCTCAATGGTACTACAGAGACACTCTGAAAAACGCTTCAGATGAGTAAAACATTTCTATACCAAGTGTGAGAAAAGATCTTGGCTTTGCTTGAATGAAATTTGTTCATTTTACCCAAGATACATTGCACCCTTTAATTTCTCCTGGTTTTGGAGGCTAATTTGGAACCGTAATGATAAGTGAACTAAGGGAATGGCAATTCTGTTAAACAGTGTGTTTTCCTGATAAAATGCACAAAAGCTGTTAAAGGTGATCTGCCAACAGGCAGGAGGAGGGTTCTGTAACGTGCAAAGAAGATCTGAAAGGATTATTTTCCTTCTGAAGCACCAGGAGTGGTCAGGACTTGTCTTGTCTCTCTTTGCTGAAAAACTCCTGGGAGCGCTTAGGAAAGTGGCAGGCCAGAGGAAATTCATTTAGGTCTTAATTAATGGAGCTGGAGGGTTGTATCCCTAGCAGAGCAATTTCCTGTCAGATCTCAGTTTAAATAGATATAAACAAAAGTTATAATTAGCAGTCTAAATAGAAAGTTGCTTCTATTTTCTGTTGATATGTCTGCATTTCCTCGGTCTCTCCTTCTGGGAGTTTACTGTTTTTGTGATCAGATGTAGAATCCTGGAGGGCAGAAGAGATGCACAGTTCAGGAAAGCAGAATATAACCAAGTGGGTGATGTAAAGGGAACATTGACTTCTCCAAGTCTTTATTAGTCACTGAAGAGAGCAGAAAAGAATTAAAAAAAAAAAAAATTTAGAGAATACAGCTAATACTCTTTTCCTTGGCAGGCCAGCTTTGCAGCAGTAGCTGTCAAACTTAAAGGCTCTAATAGGCAGCAAAACCTTTCCTCATGGCTCACAAAACTGCTTTTGCGCTAACCTTGGAGGAGTTTGGCTCCAGGCCCATAGCTTGTAAAAGACTCCTCTGTGCTTTTGCACAGATGTTATCAAGGGGTGCTCAGAGGCCTGGCCATGTCCCAAGGAAGATAGGATCATAAACATCCCCAGGACCCTTCTTCAGTCCCTGAGGAGTGATAGCATGTCCGAAAGACAATTCAGATCTTAGATGGGCTGAGCTGCCCTCTGGTAGTCTCTCTCTCCGTACTCACTGGCGTTATGCGGAGTTGCAGAGCTAACTTCCGTGCCCCCCGTGCTTAGAATCCATTATTGCTCTTTTAAGAGTTGGCTAAGAAAGGGGTGACCTCAGTTTTGTTGGGCACTCTCTTCCGCTCCGTGCTTTGGTATGCCTCTCTCTAACGTGGTTTTTAAAAGTTCCCATACTTGTCAAAGATGTAAAAGACCAAGAAAGAATTGCTTGTTTACTAACCTTAGCTCCCTTTAAAACAGAAGGGTTAAATTACAACGTTCACAGTCCTACTTCTATGTCTATGTTGGTGTTGCCAAGCTTTTGACAAATGCTGCCGCTCGTTACGGCGCGAGATTGATAACGCTGGCTGATGATTGGGATACCCAGCTAGCCAGCAAGAGGTACGGCGAGTATCCCCCCAAAGCAACAGCCGCTGCCGTTGCAGTGCTCTCGGTAGTACAGGCTCCGTGGGGTAGGGGTCTGCTGCCGGGGAGAGAGCAGGCACAGGCCCTGCAAAGCAGTGAGTGTCGTTCGGCTCTAGCCCTTCACGTGCCAAGCTAATAAACTGTGTAGACCGCTTTGCAGCATCAATTCCAGGTCTTCCCCCAAACTGTTTTTCACAACAGAACAACAGAAATCCTCTGCTGCTTCTATGTGCAAGGAAGGAATTACTAAAATTACCAGATGCTTTTAATTAATTAAAATCACTCATGTTGTTTGGTCTTCTGCCAATATGTCTAAATTCTGCCAGCAAGTTAAATAAACTTAGGAGGAAAAGCTGGGATTCCAGATCATGTTTCTCAGTGCAAAGCCTTTTGCTATAGTATTTTTTTAGGGCTTAAAGAATTAATCAGATATCTCTTAAAAGATAGCTCTCTATTGCCCTCTCTTGCTCTGAGCGACTGATACGATAGAGAAGGAACAATATAGGCTATCCATCTTCCGAAGATGCGTTGTTTATGACCGCCTGATAATAACGTCTGTAAGGACTGAAAAGGGACTCTGGCTAAGAGATTAGCAGATGCAGATCCAAGGGGAAGAGCAGCCTAGAGTTGTTCTTCCTTTTCCTTCCTCTGTTTAGTTTTCTTTTCACGAGCGAGGATGCTCGATGGTAACTCTCCTTGCCATCACCCTGCGTTCCTTTTATGTGCTGCGTTTTAGGTTCAGTTTTCCTCCTTGTTTTCAGGTCCTTTCATTTGCATTTAGCTTGGAGGCAGGGGATACAGAGGAAGTGTGTGGTGGAGGAGCACCAGGTTATCGCTAGCCTGGAAGAACGCCTTTTTGTTCCCCCTCTGTCTCTTCGGCTTTTGAGCAAAGGAGGAGTTTCGGAGAAAGCAGAGATGATGTATTTGATTCTTAGCCACAGTCCGCATCCCCCCGAAGGTCACTCTTTTTAACTGGTTTTATAATTTCACATCGTGTGTGACTATGGAATATAGCCAAACTACCGCCATCACCCCAAGCTGTCAGCTGCATGAGTGTAGCCAGCAAGAATTTACGCTTTCATCGTTCTTTTTTTGTTCCCTTTCCCCTGTACACATCATTTGTTCATTGTGCTTTCCTTGACTCAGCTGCAGTTGCTCCAGGTCAATTTATTTCTCCACAAAGGGCCTAGAGTAGATGTCCTTATCAGCACGAGATTTCTTGTGGCGTTTTCCCCAGGTAGGAACGAACAGTGAAATACTAAAAAGGCTACAGTGCTCTTGGCACTGTGCTCTTCTGAAACATGTATTTCATTCTGATCCGTGCTCCGCCATTGTGGGAGTAACCTCTACTACCATGGAGGGGCAGTTAAAATATTCCTTTTTAAAAGAAGAGGGAAAAGGACGTTTATGTTCCTCTGCCGTTGCTAGGAACCAGAGCCGGTCACGTTATGGCCAAAAAGTCATGTAGTTAGTTGAAAAGTTGAAATTTGTAAAATGGAGTAAAATAGTAAAATAGAGTAAAGTCTATTAATTTACACAAATCTATACACAGCTGAAACTAGATCTCTTTTTATTACCTTTGTTAAACTATTAAGTATACCACTTTTGTAGAACATTAATATAGTATATTGCAAAAACTAGCTACAAGTTCTATATTAATAGTGACTTCTCAAAGCACAAATTCTGATTACAGGAATGTCCTATTTGTGATGCCATCTTTACTGGTCACGAGAGCTTTGTCTATTAACATGTTGTAAGATGTTTGAATTCAGGTTATTTTACGGCATTCTGCACCGAGCACAAGTGCAGCACAGCTACGTGTAGTACAACAATACAAAGCGTTCTGCTGAGCGATGTTGCAAAAGGCATTTGATCAGTTGGAAATCAATTTTTCTTTCTTAGGGATTGCCTGTACTGAAATATTAGAAAGTTTTGTATTTTTCTGAAGACTGCCATGCTGCAGTTTAACACGGGGGTAATAGTCCGCCAGCTTACTGGCTTTTTTAGTGCTGAAGGTGACGTTTGGCCTCTCCGCTTCATCGTTTCAGGCGCTCATCAAAGAGCAGCTCCAGGAGTCTCATGGAATGTGCGAATATGCAGTGTATGTTCAAGGTACGTTGCATGAGGCATCTGAAAGTTGGGGGTTTTTTGCTGCACCAAGTCATTTCTGGTTTAGGATACAGTGATCAACAAGAAGGGTGAACAATTGAAGGAAAAGGGTATACCATTCATACGTAAAAATACATTTTTGACATTTTTCTACTTGCTATGTCTAGTTTTGAAAATCAGGATTACCTCAGGAAGGTACAAATTAGATTTTCTGTTTCCTCTTTACTGATGAGTTTGTCTTTGGTTCTTCCTCAGGCTAGGGCTCTTGGCCTTTAATGCGTTCATGTTTGATCAGCTTGTGTTGGCATGCTGTGAAACGCGTTGCAGATGCTTGTTTTCTGTTAGAGCTGCATACCTTAGGTGACGCTTACCTTGGTGTTGGCTTTAAGGGTGGTCTCCCGCTTCCTGTCCTGCCCTCCAGCCTCCAAAAGCAATCCCCCAAAACCTGGCCTTGCAATTCAGTGTCGTGTGTCATGGCAGCAGATTACAGAGATTGGGGACAGCCAAAGTTTGTTGGCCAACGACGTCTTGTGGCTTGTAAGATTTGGGGGCAGGGGGAGAAATCCAGGCCATATCTTAACAAGCAGTTGGCCAGGGTTTAAGGCTGCCTTTATTCTAAAGAACGGAAAATTTCCAAGCCAGCACGAGTGCTTTGCATGCTTTTTCATTCTGCCCTCAGACACAGAGTCTGCCTGAGATTGCTGCAGAGGGGAAAAGACCAAACGAGCGTTGTTACAATGCGTCTGTACTCCCTGTTCTGTCCCTGCTGTCAGAAAGGCACATTTTTCCTACGGATAATGGACTAATTTGCCTGATATATGTTGTCTTACAGCTTTGATATTTCGCTTGGAGGGGAAAATTCAAGAATCCCTTGAACTTTTCCAGACGTGTTCCATTCTGAACCCTCGCAGTGCCGACAACCTCAAGCAGGTGGCACGATCGCTGTGAGTGCTGTTTTATTGCTTCTCTTTGATGTGCCACCCAGGACCTTCCGTGTTTTGTTTTTCTCCCAGGCATCGAATGAAATCCCTGGCTGCTTAATTCCGAGCACGCTTCCTCCTTATCAACATTTGAATTGGTTTCCAGAAGCGTGGGCTATCCCTTAAAAGCAAAATCTCTGTCATCTGCCTAGCTGCCATTGTTGTATTTTTTTTTCTTTGTGTTTTAAGCAAGAGGTATCGCACCAGTTCCTAGGTCCAAAGCTAAGGGCGCTGACTTGAGCTGTGTAAACTGGCCTTACCGACTTCTTTCCATCTCTTGAGTGTCCGGTTTGCTTTTGATCCTTGTCCCTTTCCTTTGAGACGAAGGCAGACTACAGAGACTGTGGATTCATTCCTTGCATCTCCAGTACTGTAAGAGAGAGCCTCACGTCTCTCAGAGTTGGTGACCTTGGCCCTGAAAAGGAGCAGTGCAAACATACTACTCGGACTGTAAACTTCTCAGGGCTTCTCATGCAGGTCTCTGGAGAACTAGCAGATAGCATCATTTCGTACTGGCAAAGGGGACAGTAGTTGCACAGCAGGTTTTCAAAGCAGGAAAAAATAAAATCTGAAATACTTTCACAGGTTTCTTTTGGGGAAACACAAGGCAGCCATTGAAGTGTACAATGAAGCAGCTAAACTCAATGAAAAGGACTGGGTAAGTGTATCAGCAAGTTGCAGATTATTGCAGTATGCAGCTGTTTCCATACAGTCTTATGTAGACAGCTGCAAACTTGTTCCACGCAGAGGTGAGCTCATGCTGCCTGCAGTCTGAGCAGAGGAGGAGCTGCAAGGCTGAGAAGCAGAGCCTTTTAGCGCAGGGTCACTTGCCGTGATGAGGCTCTGCAAGCTTCTGGTTTAGATCAGAGGCACAGGGCATCATTTCTACCTATAGAAGCCCACACCTTATCTTAGGGCACAAACATAGACCCATGCGACATGTCTGAGCTTTGCAGAGTATTGCTGTTAGCATAGCTGTGTATAGTACACGGAGCTTTATTTCATTAAGGAAAGTTTGGGAAGTAACTCCCTCTTTGGAAACCCTCAGTTATCATTAAAACTTGCTTGAGTAATCGGGAATCCTCTGGTAATGCAAAACACCATTGAAAAAGATTACCTTCAAAATTGGCTGAAAATGTTGTACCAAGTACTACCTGTTTTGGCAAAATACAGGCTGATAGCTATAGCAATAACTGAGCACTAGCTGATAGCTATCAGCTGATAGCTGTAGGAGCAATAACGAAATTCGCTTTTCCAAATAATAAGGAAAAATAAAGTGAAGGAAGAGCACTGCAAAAGGAAAAGGTGATGAGAAGAGAGAGGACATGGCTTGCAGTTTGAGAACAGTCTTCCACATATGACTGTTTTGTAAACAGAAGTGTTGTTTCTAAGACAGACTTGCTACATATGATCTCATGCAGGATGTCAGGTTCACCTGTAAGCTTACACAGAAAACAACGGCCTCATTCGCTAAGGCAGCAGCCACTCACTCAGTTAGCTGTGGTTTTGGTACTCAGTATGTCTGAAAATCAGACTGAATATAAGGATGCATTTGGTATAATTCTCCTTTTTGACTCAACCTGTGCCAGACAACTCAGAAACCTTTAATGCAGGGAATCTTCTTTCAAGTCTTCATTCTCTTAGCTAACCGAGCTGCCTGCAGTATGTGCTTGGCAACCCTGTTTACAGCCACAGCAGGCAGACTTCAGCGGGTATTTTGGTTAGTTGTTTCCCATTCCTGGCTTAGCACTGGAAGTACAGCTACCCTGTGCGCTCTCCTTGTGCTGTATCGTTCTGCAAGCCACAGTAACCAGGAGTAGCTCTTTGATTCTTCACTGTTCTCTGCAGTTGGAGAGACTGCATGGAGGGAAATGCCATTCAAAGGAGCTTAATGTGGAAGTATGAGAGTTTTCTTTTAAAGGTCAAGGCTGTCTAAACTGATGAAATGTTTACCGGAATAGAAACAAGAAGCCAGTGAGCCTTGCATTTCTACTCCCCAAAATGTAGCAGGGTGAAGAAGGTGGCATGTAGCTTGTCTGTTAAACTCTTGGCAATGAGTTAGAGGTGTGATTTGTTGCCTACAGTGTCACAAGAGTGTTCAGGATGACAAAGTGATCTTCCTACTGTGTTGCAAGCATGTTTGGTATGCCATAGGGATATCAGCCCTTTTGGTGCTCAAATTCTAGTTTGGAAAGCTAGACACATTTTTCAAATTATGTCCAGCTGGGTGCAGTATTGTGCATATCCTAGTGACAGTTACAGGTAGATTGAGAGCCACCCGTAAGGGCAACCTATGTCAGCTTCAGAGATCTCACTGGGAATTGAGTCACATCTCAGCAAAGAAACCGATCTTTGCTCCTTGCTCTCCTAAGAGACCACCCTCATTTCTCTGCTTTTGTCTCAGTGGACTGTAGTCTTTCCTGTGCTGTGAGGCTGTAGGTTTCTGAAGTGCCTTGCATTTGTAGAGCTTTGCAGGTTACCCAGCGTATACTTCAAACCTCATGCTGATTTTTTTTTTTTTTTTTTTTTTTGGTGCATGCAGGAGATCAGCCACAACCTGGGTGTGTGCTACATGTACCTGAAACATTTCAACAAGGTAATGCAACGCTCAGCTCGTCTACTTGACAAGTGGCAAGTGAGGTTCCCAGAGCTTTCACTCTTTTTGGTAGTGTAAAGTGGATCAGTTGCAGTGAGAGGTATCAAGGAACGTTTGTGCTTCAGTGTGATTTCTGGGAGTGAAAGTTTGTGAGCTGTGTCTGTTTTCATTTGCATGTTGAAATACTTTGAGCCCGTTAAAAGTTAGTGAATTGGATAAGAACGAAATGGAGGTTAGCCTTGTTGCAGGCCAGGAGGCTTTTTTGAACTAAGATTTTCAGAAAGCGTTTCTATTTTTAAAGTGAATGTTGGGGAAATCTCAAAGAGCTGCCTCAAGCTAGACAGAAGACCAGCTGTGCTCCAACGAGAGCTACTTCTGTTTTGGAGCCTTTTAAAACCAAGACCATATCCATTGCTGGTTTTGTGAGGAGTAGCAATCTGTAGAGCATCTCAGTTCCATCCTCTTGAAGCAGCAGAATTTTGATGATTAAGACCCAAACTGTTGCTGCAGCATGTAAACTGCTTAAACTGCTGTACCTTGTGCAGAGTTTCTTGGGTCTGAAGGAGAATTTGCAGACCCTTGTCTCCAGCAGGATTCACAGAGAGGGGTTATAGGTTTTGTTTGCTGGAAGTGCAGAGCCCTCTCTCTCCTCCCACCATGGAAAAGATTTATTCTTGTGTCTGAAGCTCCTTTTGCCCCAAGCCTGGAGCAGAAGTCACAAAGGAGCTCGGCTGCCGGCATGGGCGACACTGTTGATGCTTAACTGGGAATGAAGAACTTATTGGAAGCTTGCAATGGAGTTTTGGTGCTTCTTCTAAGCATGTCCTTCCCAGCTCTTCACTCAGTCCTTACCTAGGCACTCGTGATGAGCGCTGAGTCGTCTTTTATCACGTGGGGCTACTGAGTGAGGGAAAAAATGGTATTTAGAAAACCTGCATTCCCAGTTTGGCCCCTTTGCTACCTGCTACTAGAACAGCAGGAATTTCTTTACAAGGAGGTCTTTGGAGGAGGAAATGAAACAAGAAATATCCCTTCTGCCTGAGGTAAGGGTGACAGTCTTCCTGAAACCACTTTTTGAGTTGAGCTGAGCATTACATCAGCCACCTGAATTCTAGCCTGTAGGGAGCTCTGTGGCTGTTGAATTCTCTCCTGGATATATTGCAGTTGATATAGAAGTTCTCAAGCTGTTTCTGGTGGAGTGTTGTGGCCCTTGCATTGAACGCCTGCTGTGTTCCCAGTTAGCTTCTTGCTTTACAGCAAGGTTCATGCTTGGGATTTATCGCACGCACTAACATCTTTCATAGTGGGACCTCCTAATCTCTTGGCTGTCCCACAGGCCCAAGATGTAGTGGTCGCCCTGGGCAGCAATACATGCTGAGTACTTTCGCGAGGACCTCTACAATACAAGGAAGCTCACGGAGATGATTTCGGCTCTTTAGTAGTTGCTGGTAGCAAATACTCAGTATTGCAGAATTCCCTTCCTTTGTCAGCGTTTCTCTTTTTAATATATCACGTGTTCAGAAACAGCACGGGTTTTCTACTGTCCTGTTGGCTGGGCCTGGGGTAGCAAAAGGAAGAAACGCTTGAAAGTATCTCCAGTTGGAGGGGATCAGCATGTGCCTGACAAGAGCTGATTCATTCCTCTCGTTTACTTGGCAGTCCCTGCCTACTGCTGGAATAAGCGTTTCAGAAAGAAATGAACTGTGGTGTACCTATTAACCTAACAAATCTGGAGCAGCCCTCAAACCAAACTAATTCAAATACAGGCGCAGGCAGGCCTGTGCTCCTCTCTTCCTTGAGAGGTCATTGCCTCTTGTCTTGGCTTGAAGCATTCAGCTTTGCATTCTTCTCTCCCTAAAAGCACATGGCTCCTGATGCAGCACTTGTTTTAACAATCAGGCTGGGTTTTTCCAGCAAGATTCTCCGAGCTCAGTGGGTGTTAGCTGCTCCCTTTCCGCTACCTGCCAGCTGCTGGCGATTGCCCTTAGGCTCTTGCTTCACTAAGAACTCTGTAATCGCTGATTCTCTCTTTTATTCTCTGTGGTTGTATGTTTAGGCACAAGACCAGCTAAACAATGCCCTGGAGCTCAACAGACATGACCTGACTTACATGATGCTGGGGAAAATTCACCTATTGGAAGGGGAGACTGATAAAGCCCTTGAAGTCTATAAGAAAGCAGTAGAGTAAGATTATATCCTTTTTCCTATCTGTCCGTGTCCCAGCCTATGCCAGGAGAAATTTGATTGGTGTCCCAGATCTGAATTGAAGACTGAATTGCATGATTAAAAAGCTAATGGTAATTATCGTGTCTCAGCGCAAAATTTGGCATTTTCAAGCTCTTCATCTGTCTCTGCTCTCAGCTGTAGTCCTTCTCCTGCTGACGATGTGTCAGGGAAGAAGGTAGCTGTTCTGCCAAGAAAAAGTGGAAAGCAAATGGATGGAGATGCCTGGGAGCAAACATATCCAAAACTGACTTTTAAATCCCAGAGGTCTGTCGAAGAAAAAGATCTAACCCTGAGTGTCTGTCAAAAATCAGTTGTTGAGTTTTATATACTGTTTTCACTTGGAGTAATTTACATCCGAAAGAGTGGGAGCAGGCAGAGCGGAGAAGGGCTGGTGCCCTGTGAGATTCTGCCAGCCCGTCACTGTTTCTTAGTCCTGATCTGTCTTGTTTTTGGGTATTTCTGAGCACAGATGGACATCCAGCTTATTAGTGGTTTTAAAATGAGGTTTTATAGTGTGGACAAACACAAAAGGAAAGCATAACGTCCCTAACAGCGTGGTTGCCAGAAGCCAGTGGAGGATGTACATTTTTGTACTTGCCCTTTTCACATACTTTTTCCTTGAACATCTGCTTCTGGCTGCTATCTGACAGTATATTGGGTTAGTCTGGAATGCTTTTTATCTAATTAATCCCTGCCAAGCATTGCACCGTGTTTATATTTCTTATCTTGTGCCTCCCTTCCCTGCCTTCTTCCTCACTTCTACTTTTTGTTGTTGTTGTTTTTTCTTCATCCGACTATTATGTTTTGTCCGCTGTTACAGCTCTGGGATAGTCTGTCACTGCTGTCTGTTTCTATAACACCAGACACGATGAGGTTTTGTTCTGGCTGAGGTCTAAAGATGCCTGTGTGACTATAAATATTAGACTGCTTAAGACTTGATAGTTCAGTTAACTGCGGTGACTTGAAAACTCAGTCCTCGTAAGGTAAACGAGGCCATGAACGTGGGGTATCCCTTTCTGCTGCTTTTTGTGTTTGCTTTGTTTTGGTTTTGTTTCATGCTGTTTATTTCTTTGTCCCAAATCTCCGGGGAATGGGGAGGCTTTTACGAGTATTCACGACGTTGCTGTGTGCACCCCAACTTAGCAGTGAAGGTTGGGGAGTTGCATACTGTAACTGAGAGCAGTCGGAGTGTATTTTTTCAGCCTTGCAGCGCTGCACGGAGCGGTGTGTATCGCCAGGGATATGTTTATAGCCAGCGTAGCGCCTGTCTCGGCACTGAGGTCTGGGGGCCACCAGTGCACAACGGGGCCACGGTGAGCAGCGCGCAGCTGCTCCGTGAAACCATGTTTGTTATCTTTTTATAGGGTAGTGAGTTAAAAGGCTGCTGATAAATACATGTAGGATGCTTCAGAAATGCTGAGGATTGCCTGTCATGTATGGCTCAAGAGGCTTGGGATGGTTTATGGGAAATGATGGGAAATACCAGCTTCTATTTCCAGGTCTCTGATGCAGACTCACTGTGAGTCTTAGGAAAACCGTGTCATCTTCTTGCACCTCCGTTTGCTTATATTTTAAGTTCAACTTAACAGAACTATCATAACTTATTTTATCTCAAGAAAGCATTTGAGAGCTTAGATGGAATATTGTTCGGAGGAAGTCCCCGTGATGACAGCTGTTCTAATACTTGGGTTTAATAAGAACAGTTAATTTCCTGGGGTGGTACTAGTACGATGTAGCGTAATAATTCCATGTTCTGCACCGTACCTTGTCTTAGAAGGGCCAATAAACAATGCAGCTCTTTGGCTTTTGCGTTGCAGATTTTCTCCAGAAAACACAGAGCTCCTTACAGCTTTGGGGTTACTTTACTTGCAGGTATGGAAAACTTAGCTATTATGTGAACTTACTTATTTTCAAAATGATCTAGGCTTTATTATAGAGTTAATTTCTATGCGTCTTTGTATGAGTTTTACACATTTCTCGAAAGGCCATGTTTGAGGTGACAGAACATGCTTTTCTGTATCTTCTTTTTCCTTTTACTGCTAAAAGGGAGTTGATTTCCTGGAACTGAGCCAGAGCAGGAATTCTTTTTGGCGACTGCTCTAATTTTGTTACGATCCCTCCAAGTACGATAAAACATGACTAGTCATGACGTTACTTCTCCAGCACGAGCCTAGCAAGTTTTTCTCCTAAAAGCAGCCATGAAACTGCTAGTGCTAACGCCCATTCGAAGAAAATCAGAAATGATTTTAAATAACAAAAGAATATTTGTCGCTTGGGTCTATGAAGTGTATGGAAAGGACCGTCTGTTTATTCCAAAAGTAAGCTGCCTGAAAAACATTGCTTCGCCCCGGAGATAGGGAGACTGAGTAGGAGAGCTGAATGTCTTCAGGTGGGTATGTGGGGATTTAGAAGGGAGTCTGACATGGGAAGGAGACCTGTGAGACAGAGGCAGTGTGAGTGAACCATCCACAACATGAATTTAGCCCCCAGTTCTCCACGCTGTGACTCACGTGTTCTGTTCGTCACGTCCCTGGACACGTACTCACTTTTGGAAGTCAAAAAAGGCTTTTGCTGTCTTTCCCCTCACTATTAGTTACAGAAGGCACTGGACACTGATGCGTCAGCATAATTGCTGGAATCAAAAGCTAACTTTTCTATGACCCCCAAAAAAGGCAGCGGTACCCACAATTTTATCCTGGTCGGACTGGTACAATTCTGGCATAACTCCATTGAAAACAGTAGGATTTAAGTGATTCTAAGTAGTCGCATGCTGACATATGCGCATAATCCTGCCCACTAACGTTTGCAGCCCATTAGAAGACAAGGGGAAGCTCTCTTTCCGCAGAAAGAGCGCACAGTGTCCTGGGGAGTGGAGAAGTTGTGGCGAGGGAATCGGAGATGTGCTGAGCAGCAGCTTATCTCTTAGCTCTTCTGAAAGAAATGAAGGAGTAGAGGAATATCAAACCAGAGTTCCTTCTGGAATGGAAATGTCACAGCACAAACTATATAGAAACCTTTGTTTTGGTCAGAACAGTGAATTTCATTAAGCTAAATCTATTTTTAGGATCTGTTTTGTAAATTATTAAGCAAGAGTGTTTGTGTGTAATGGGAGCACTATAAAACTCACTCTTCTGAATCCTAGTTTTAGTTCAACTGGAAGTTCTGGTGTCCAAAAAGCATGTGGGCTCCTTCTTAACCCCCTTATTCCTGAATTTCTGATGCTCGTTTACTTCTTTTCCAGCTTGGGGATTACCAGAAGGCTTTTGAACACCTTGGAAACGCACTTACTTATGACCCCACCAACTACAAGGTATCGTGAGGACTGGGAAAGAACGAGCTGAATGGCAATGAGATGCCTCTTAAAGCTAATTCCAGTACCAGAGCTTTGCCATCTAAGTCCAGTGTCTGAGCCTGGGAAGGCTGAAAAGTATCATGCCCCAGAAAGCTTTCTCTGAAATACTTTCTGGGACCTTTCCCTGGGGAGGCAATTGTGTGTGTAGAAGGAGGGGAGGAGGCAGAAAAGAGGATGCTAAGTTGATGCCTGTGGCTTTTAATCTGAAGTTGCACCTGTTTTTAACAAACGGAAATTATTTTGCTACGAAAGTCTTCAAGGCGTTTTTTCAAAAATCCCAAGAGCTATATCTGAGTCCTTGTGACGCCTAGACATGGAGCACAGATACAAGTGATGTCCCATTATATTATCCTCCCATCCACTTATACGCCTGTCTGTGCTGCCCACTGTTGTATACAAATGTCATTTTTCCTCAGCTCTGATCTGGAAAGCTGAGCCTGGGATCCGGGTTCGGTTCTTGATTCTGAAACGGCTTCCCTTTTTAGGCATGTTGCTTCGTTTCTCTCTGCCTCTTTCTCCTTCCGTCTGGTGACGGCAATGTAGAGTATTGAAGTGTATGGTTGGCAAATGATACATGAATGTAAACCAAATGTTATTGTGAAAACATCTTTACACTTACAAGTTTTGTCACTGTGAAATATTGTAAATGGCTTAACCAGCTTACTGTGGTTTAAATATAGTGTGTTGCAGTCACTTGCTCTTCTTTTCATGCATATTTCCGTTAATTTGCAATATCAACCAGGCAGTGTGAACTAGGCAGGCTTTGCTGCGTATATCTTGCTTGCGTATGTTTTAATCTCCAGTTAACTTGCACCAGAGCTATTTCTAGCCATACTTGTTAGTAAAAAGAAACTATTAGTGTATAGATCTTCTCCTGCTGTATGTTGGGAGACTCTGGAGTCCCCATATGCTGCGCTAGCTTTTGATCTTGGCAGCTACTAGGAGGCACCTGAAAAAGACAGTTGTTCTTAAGATGGTTTTAGCTGAGTAACTTTGTCCTGTTGTCGTCTTGCCGCATTTGGGGAAACTCGGTTCCTCAGCTGGTCACTCTTATGTTCTCTCAAAGGCTACCTTGGCAGCAGGCAGCATGATGCAGACCCACGGAGATTTTGATGTTGCCCTCGCCAAATACAGAGTGGTAGCCAGCGCTGCGCCTGAAAGCCCCCCACTGTGGAACAACATTGGAATGTGCTTCTTTGGCAAGAAGAAATATGTAGCAGTCAGTATCTGGTTTCCTTTTTTTTTTCTTTTTTTTTCCCCCCCCCCTTCTCTCCATCTGTAGTTAGCTTCATGTAAGAACAAGAGTCCTGTTGTGGCAGAGACAGGAGGTCTGATCTGGTTGGGCTGTGTTACAGCACTCTGTTATTCCTTTTTGAAGGCTATCAGTTGCCTGAAGCGAGCAAACTACTTGGCTCCCTTTGACTGGAAGATTCTGTACAATTTGGGGTTAGTCCACCTCACGATGCAGCAGTACGCGTCTGCTTTCCACTTCCTCAGTGCTGCCATCAACTTCCAGCCCAAGATGGGAGAGCTCTATATGCTCCTGGCAGGTATGCATCGCTCCATTACCCAGATCTGGTGTACGCACGGCTTAGGAGATGGAACGTTTTGGAGAGAAAGCTTGGACTGAAGCACGCAAATATGGGACAAATGCTGTGCCAAGGAGCTGTTTCCCACTAGGTCACTGGCAGGTGTAAAGTCTGAATAGTCTGTTCTCTGTCTGTTGTGGATAGGAGGGTTAAATTGCAGTGAGATTCAGATTAGACGTTAGAAAAAACTCTCCATCCTTAACAGTTTGGCACTGGAATAGGTTGCCTAAGGGAAGGGTGTGCACTTCCAGCGCTGGAGATTTGTGTGATCAAGCTAGACAAATACCACTCAGAAGTGGCCGAAGTAGAGTTGTTCCTGGCCTGGGGCCGGGGCAGCAGTCTGGACAATCCTGCTAGGTACCTTCTGCTTTTATTTATTTTATGATTTAACGACATTCCAAATTGTCTTAAGAGTGAAGTCCTTGTGGTGCATGAACTTCTGTATGCACGTTTTGTTTTGGTGCAGTTGCTCTGACAAACCTTGAAGACATTGAGAACGCAAAACGTTCCTATGAGCAAGCTGTGGCACTGGACAAGTAAGTCTTAATCATGTCTGTTGGCTGTTTGATCAAATTGCTCTTCCTCTCTATAGCTGCTTTTCTTTGCATACTTTGTCCTTCAGTCTACTTCTACCCTATGCGGTTCATAATAGGGGGATATTTTTATGCTTGGAGCTGTGCAAATCTTTTTTTTCCAAGCTTTTTTTTTGGGGTGTGTGTGTGTGTGTGTGTGTGTGCAGGTCAGCTCTGAAGAATGAAAGGGAAATCTTGTTTCAGACCAACCCAAAGCTGAGTTCTATTTTGTTATTTATACAATGAGTCAGTGATAATGACTTTGGATTTATACAGAATGGAGCAGATGCAATAAAAGAAAAAGAGCCTTCCCAGAGTATTTTGTAACCCAAAGTCTGAGCACTGTGCAGAGCAATGGCAGGCTAGGTATGAAGCCTCTTCTGAGCTGGGCAGAAGGAAGATTTTTGGGAGAATGTGGGCAGGAAGCCAATCTTAATGATATGAAAGGGCAGCGGTGGCAGCCCTTTCTCCTCCATTTTGTGAACAATGTCTACATTCACTATCTAGCCTCTAAAATCAAAGCACGTGGCTTCAGAAACGTTAAAATGAACCATTTTGGTATTAAAAATAGTAGTTGGTGTCATTTCAGCCAGAAAAACAAGTTTGTCTCAAATTCATGAATAATTTTGGCAGCTTGGGTCTGCTTTTCTTTGCTTTTTTTTCCTACTTATTTTAACTAGTAGATGATTTGATGACGTCTTCTCCCCAGTTTACTGTGAATAGCTGCATATTTACAGCAGCTAGCACAGTGCTGCAGAGCCAAGGAGGATCTGTGTGCTGATGGCAGAGCCGTAAGGCAGGCACCAGTACTTTCTGGTGAAAGTACTCTTTTCCCTGGCCACTGCAAGGTGCCATGAGAAAATGCTGGTCCCTTTTCCTCTCTCTTTTTCTAGATGCAATGGCCAGGTTTAATTTTGGGAATTCTGACAGTTCATAAGCCCATAGAAAGAGCAGTAGGTTTCAAAAAATAAAGTTTGACATTTTGGCGCTGCTCTCTTTGTGAAGAGGTGCTGTAAACGCTCTCAGATGTTTTCTGAGAGTTACACAGCTTGCAAGCATGGCAGAGCGCTTGAATCACTTAGCCCTGCCTAGCCAGTACACATCTGGCACCAAAGTCCTCCATCAACGACATTACAAAGCAGATCTGAGTGTTACTTCTGCACCCGTTTCAAATGTCAGCAGAGCTGTGCAGCCTCCGCAGAAGAGCTGAACCTACGCGAACTAATAACGTGTCAGACAGCTTTGTAATTGTTCCGTTACGTTGCCACGTGAGAGCATTTTTGCAATTACGCGTTGGTCGTTCCCACCAAGTCACTGACTGTAAGTCCGACTGCAGTTGTCTTTGCCTGGCTTTCCTATTCGGACTCCCATGCCTGGCAAGGGAGCGCGGGAGCTAAAATTGTTCCCACTGCTCAGTGGTGAGTGCGGGCGCTTAGCTCAAAGAGCGGGAATAGAAATTTACCTCCGCAGCTTTGCCTAAATATTTGGCACTAGTATGAAGCTACAGCCATATAGATTTACCAGGAAAATAAAACCTCGTCAAAGGGAAAATTAATGCCGACTGCCACAGACTGCTGGGAGGAATATGCAGGCTTTGTTAGCCTCTGATCTTTGTGGCTTGCTCAGCTGACATCCCTTACGTTTTCTACAGTAATTTTTGTGGCTGAATCCGTCTTCCCACAGGCTTTCTTTGCGGGCATATCAGGAACCGTTTGTCTGGGATGAAGACAGCCGTGCCTGCTTTCATTGCCATCAATATTTTTATAGCAGCACTATGACATTTGGTGTGGGTGCCGTGCTGGGGTCTGGAGGGGAAAGTATCTTGGAAGCATCTTTTAAAAAGATGTCTTCTGCTCTTAGTGCTCGTTCTTAGCCCGTAGTTGCATTTTCTTTCTGTGGTTATTTATCCATTGATTTTTCTAACTGTCATGTTGCTTCTCAGCTCTTGAAGGAGAATTAGTTTGATAAGGTTCAGTCAGTTTTAAAACTGGCTATTCCCAGTTTCCAGTGTTTTTGTTTTGTTATGTGGGGTTGATTTTTCTTGAAAACTTTAAGAGCTTTTTTTTTTTTTTTGGTGAAGAGATGGCTTTTTGATATCTTTTTCACATACTGCTTCCTGTGCTTTGTCAAAGACAGGGAGGAGGGTGTTTTTTTTTTTTTTTTATTGCAGGATCAGTTTCGCCATTAAGGGAGAGACAATGGCTATAAATGCTATCAGATTCCTTCTAATAGTCTTCTTTCTCACAGCGCTGTCATATAACTTACCAGGAATTGATAGTCCTGGCCTGCAGAAGACACTTTCTATTTACTGAGCAGTGTTAGCAGAAGCCCTACCCTTGAGCACTCTTCACAAAGAAAGCTCTCTCTGTCTTGGCACCCCAGGTGTGGGTGCTGGAGTCCTTGGATGGCTCCAGCTATCCCTGCTGTGCTCCAGGAGAGGGCACTAGCCCCTCGCTCAGATTTATTGAATAAAAGTACAAAGCATCCCTTGCTGACCTGCATGCAGCGATACCTGTACGTGGCCTCTCTGCAGGGATCTGTAGCCAGACAGTGCTCTTCCAGTCCACTCCTCCACAGCACGTCCTCCGTTGAAATCTATTTGGCTTCAAAAGAAATCCTGGCCAAATGCAGCTCTGCTCTTCTGGGTCTCATCCTGCAGCTGGTATGAATTGAGCCTCTGGATCAGCTCCCAGGCTGGGACTGGTGGCCCCCTCGCATTTTGTTTCTTTACTGAAGATATTAGATACACGTTTTGCTTCTTCAAAATAAGTGCAGAATTCAGACCAGGAACGGTCGGAGCATTTTGTAGAATGTAAATCTGGACCAGTCGAGCAACTGAAGAAGGGTCAGGTCGCTGAGGGGTTTAC